GAGGACATCACTGCCTTCCATCGTAACTACAGAATATAGAAAAGCAATAGAGCGTCCATCAAAAGATAAGACCTGTTGTCCCATATTTAATTTGGAATAGTTGTCAATGTCTCCTACTTGACTAGGCTTTCGTATTGTATCATGATGCTGACATTTGTCATAAGCAGGAGCACCTTCTATTTTCAAAAATTACACAGTACTATAGCCCATGTATAGCCTATACATGGGCTATAGTACAGTACTATAGGCCATGTATAGCTTATACATGGGCTATAGTACAGGGTAATATTCAGAATTTGTCAATTAAAAAAATGGTCATAACTCAAAAATGTTTAGTCAAAATCACCTCAAACTTTCTACATAGCATCAGGGCATCAATATGTATCAGAAAATGTAATAAAAATTAAGGATTATTTTGGAGCAATTTTTTTTAGAAAAAGCATGGATACCCACATAGCACTAACAATGCGATCTAAATGGCAACTTATGCTAATTATAAATCAATCTTAGATCACAAAATGTCACACTAAAACTCCACCACATTAAGGCATCATACACTATACAATGTACAAACCTCATAATGATAGTTCATACAAGTCAAGTCCCTCCAACAGGTATCACCTCTCATCTTTATCAAACACTAAAGAAGTTTCCAATATTCAATCACATCCTTTCTCTCACTTACAGCTCCAATGATAATGCGGAATATCATCCAGCAATTTCCCCAGACATTGGTCCAGCTTGTGGGCGTGTGACGTGAAAACTGGCTCAAACTCAAAACTGGAGATAAGAACATTGCAAGGAAACCCATTTCAAGTAACTGAGACTCCCAACCTACATGTACATGTACATGAATATCTAATAATGTACACAAATTATACAATACACAATGAATATACTGCACCTACACATGTACAAGTATGCAAATAATATTGTTTAATTAATAATCCAATTTAATTAAAATATAAATTAATAATGTTTTTAGCTCACAACATTTTCTCTTTATGCATGATATGCAGTATCACTTACCAAATGAATACCTAATAAATAATAATAACAATAAATGATATGGTACATATACCGTAGGGCGCCTTTTTTTTAGGGTTATAAATTTTGTGGATTTTTATTTCGCGGATTTAATTTTCATGCCATCTGCCATCTTGTACCGTATTAATTTGATTTTCACAAAAGTAATTTTTGCGAATCTTTAAAAAAATTGCAAAATCCACGAAATTTATAGCCCTTGAAAAAAAGGCGCCCTACGGTAACTAACCATCTCTGACCCACATTAGATAATGACTGATACAGTCCCCACAATATAAAGAACATAATTACATTCCCTGCACTAAGAAACACTATTGTACCAGATACCACAAGTCCTACTGTTCCCATTGAATCTAAACTAATATCAATGTACTCTTTTGGTACCCACCAAAATTATGTTGGGACAAAACTGTTCAGTTTCCAAGAAGACTCACTGCCTGTGCTCTCTTGAATATTTTGAAGGTATAAGTGAATTGGTAGGAGCCAATTTTTTCCTAGGAGCTGTTTGTTCTAATAGAGTGCAATAAGAAATGCTACAACTAGAAATAATTAAATAAATACAAGAGAGAGATTGTAACAACAACACTTTAACTTTCATTCTCTCTTCAAAAGAGATGGTATCAATAATCAGTAATTGGTAGACCATACAGTAGACTAAATTTTAGTATATTACTTATTGAGAAGCTGTAAACAAGGACATTGATATGATCAAGAGTAGATAATAATTAGAGGAAAGTGTCCTACTGTGCATATACCCCTGCTTCATCATATCATAGAATTGAAGAGTCACATTCAGGATATTTCCGTATTTTATTTCAGTAGTTATTCAAAAATAACTAGCAATAACTATAACTACTCAAATATAATACGGAAATATCCTGAATGTGACTCTTCAATTCTACGACGTGATGAAGCAGGGGGTATATGCACAGTAGGACACTCTCCGGCCTCTAATTATTATCTACTCTTGATATGATCAATTGTAGTAAAAGTTCAATGATAATTGGACACTGAACTAGTCAACTACACTACAGTACATCTAATAGTCTTAACTTAATTACATGTAAATGAAACTTGTCCAACGAGTCAACGACCCTCAACCTCACAACCACCAGATGACAAGGCTATGATACTTACAGTAAATAACTGAAAATGATCTAATGAACAACATTCTAACTAGCCAGTACAAGCCAGCAAGTAACTTTCTTTCATCTTGATCCACTGATGATGAAGAAGAACTCTTCCTAACGTTTGAATCTTCTGAAGACTGCCTTTGATTGCTCTGTTTTTCCCTCCATTATTAGATCTAGCTCCGTATACCTAGGTTTACTTTCGTATACTCTAAATTCGTGTTATCACGTGGAATAAGTCACGATCGATGGCTTACGTCTGTGCCTCCGTACACAAGGATACGTCCACCTCAGAATAGCAGGAGGACAAGAGGAATGATTTCATGAGCCTTTTCTCTCAGAAGAAGATTCAAGTGAATCACAGCATTTGTACAGTCCTCCAGGCTCCATTTTTAAGGTGTGACTTTGGGAGTGGTTAAATCAACCGCATATATATCCGCATCGCAGGCTCGTCACCACCATCTCATCTCTCCTCTCCTTTAAATTGTATGCATTAGATCTACTTAAACTAATTTCAAATGGCTTCAAAACCATCACATTTCTCATTGGGTGAGTCAGATTATTTGTAATATGATCATATCTCATGATGATGACATCCTTTATGTGGTTGGGTTTATGATATTTTAGTATTCATATCTTTCCTGTGAATGACGTTTCTGATTTATAATAATATTCATTGGGATACCGTAAATGGAAATTTTTTCAGGCCGCCATTGTGGAGGTATTGCTGCACTGTTTTCAATGGAGCTCGATACACTTTCTGCCGTTTTGTAAGAAGAGCAAGCCGGCAGTTATAACCTCAAAATGTGAAAAATTGCAACTTGTAGCATTCTTTTCATAGGTCTGCAACTGTTTGGAGTCACTGGAGTGAC